CGGAGGCAGTGAGGCGCCCCTGGGGACGCCAGGGAAGCACTAGCGAGGAGGAGGCGGGGAAGGGGGGTGGGCGGGAGGCGGATGGTGAGGGCCCCGCCGCCTCGCGCCCCGCCCGCAGGTGTCCGTGTGCCAGGAGATGCTGCAGGAGCTGCGCCACGCCGTCTCTTGTCGCAAGACTTCGCGCTCCCGCCGCCGCCGGCGTCCGGGCGGCCCGAGCCGGGCCCTGCTGTCCCTGCGTGCCGTCCGCGAGATGCGCCTGAGCAACGGCAAGCTCTACTCGGCCGGCGCGGGCGGGGACCCCGGTGGCGCGCACGGGGGCCCCCAGCGCCTCCTGGACGACCCTGGCCCTCCCGGCGGCCCGCGGCCCGCCGCCCCGACGCCGTGCACCCACGTGCGCGTCTGCCAGGAGTGTCGCCGCATCCAGGCGCTGCGGGGCTCGGGGGCCGGAGCGCCCCCACGCGGCCTGGGCGCCCCCACCGAAGCCGCCAGCCCGCCCAGGCCACGCCCAGGTCCCGCAGGGCCCCGGGAGCTTGCGGAGCACGAGTGACCGTTGGGGGGCGTCTCGACTGACCGCAGAGCCGGGGTCCAGGCCTCGGCTGCCCCTGCCTTCCCTGGCAGCCAGGGAACGGAACTTGTGGCCAGGAGTACCGAACTGACGCCGCGACTTTGCCTTGGGTTCCCTGTAACGTGTGGAGTCCGCCTGCTCCCCCTGGTAGACTTGCAAGAGGGTGCTGCGTGCAGCCATGCTCTGCACCTGGGCTGCGGGCGACAGGAGGCAGCACCCCGGACTCCCATGAGCTGAGTGGAGCATCGGTGGGGAGGACCTCATCCTGGGACCGCACAGCCTCCTAAACTTAATGCAGCCCTCCTCACTTCCAGAGGAGAGAGCATCCTGGCCGATGGGTGTCCTCTGGCACCCCTGGACTCTTCTCTCTTTCTCTCTTTTTTTTGGGGAGAAATCTCTATGATGAATTTCTATGAGACACCCCCCCCGGGGGAGGGGGTCAGTTGGGCCCCATCCCTCCCCCTGCCACACCTCAGTCCCCGTTGGAATAAAAAAAACAAAACCGGGGATAGCCGGTTGGGTCTCCATTTCCTGGGGAAGGGGCGTTGAGGGCATTGGAGGTCTGGGCCCCAGGAGGATGCGCCGCGAGCACACACAAACCCTTTCACAGACTCCACACCCTCAGCCCTGCCCACAGTCTAATGGCCAGTCCAGGTGCCTGCTGCCGGCCCCTCCCTCTGACCTTGCGTCAGGTCAGGGAAGCCACATTAAAGACCCTGAAACAGATGGAAAGATGTTGGGGATCTGGAGAGTCATAGATGCGAGGAAATGGAGACAGAAAGACCAGATGGGGAGGGGGGAGGGCGAGCGCGCTGTGGTGTGGTGGTGTCCGGAATGGCACGTATGGCGGAGTGCCTCCCTGGGTGATTCGGAGATTTGGGATGGTCTGCATCTATGTGTGCGTCCCCAAAGCCATCCTCAGCTGCCTGCGACTGTGGCCCTCTGCTGATACTGAAGCGTGCCCACCTCCATGAGAGGAAGCAAGGGATCCTAGTGGAGGGAGGGCTAAGTGGGAAGGAGAGGCTGGTGGATCAAGAGGAAGGGTGGGTCTGTCTCCTGTCCCCGCCCTCCCCCTCCCCGCTGGAGGTTTCTGTGGAAACTGCAGCTGAGAAAGGACGAGTGAAGGTCACACGGAGAGAGCCAAAGCGAGGCCTAGTGGAAGGGGGAGAAGCGGGAAAGGGAGAAGAATGGGCTGGAGGAATAGACAGATGGGGCAGAGAGGTGAGGGGGGGAAGGAGTGGGGCGAGGTAGAGTGAGGTCAAGGGGGAGAGACAAGGGGAGGTTAGAGAATGGAGGGGAGTGTGAGCTCGACTTGGGAAAGCCGGGAGAGTTGAGGCTTAGAATCAGGAGTGGAGGTCGAGCAGAAACAGGCGAGCGTCAAGAAACCATAGAAAACTAGTTGGGGACCGACCTCAGAGGACAGAGAGATGAGGAAAACCCGCGCGAAGGGCAGAGAGCAAGCGGGGTGTGATCTCAGGCGGCGCCAGCGCAGGGAGCTGTCCTTTCAGCACCAGCCAGACCAGCCCGCGCCGCAGCTCTGTCTCCATTCCTTTTCCAAGTGCCTTCTGGGGGCCTGTGGCCCAAACGCCAAGACGCCTTCCAGTACACAACACCCTCCATGCCAGGCTACTTCACACAGTGCCAGAATCTCCATCTGGGCCTTAGACACTTGCTGTGGACTGTGCCCGGACAGGGAGAGCCCAAGGCAAGCTGGTGGCTTCTCAGCTCTTTGACAGGCCTACCAAGCAAGGTCTCTGCCCTTGGGCTGAACTTTGTCTTCCAGGGTGACTAGAATGTGGGCATTTCTGGATGCCATCTCTCTCTGTGCCAACCCTATAGTCAATCTCTCCTGGGATCTTCATTTCCAAGCTCTTCTCATTTCTGCTCTTAGTTTCTCCCTAGTTTGCCAATGCTGTCTCTCTTCTGGGTTCTCTGTGTCCCTGTGTCTCCCTGTCACCTTCACTAAGGATTTCTGTGTCTCTGTGTCTTTTGCCTGTTTTCTCATCTCTGCTTCTGCTTTCCCATCTGCCTGTGCCTCTTTCTCACTCTGCAAGGTGTGCCTGTCTCTCCTGTACCCGTCCATCCCTGTGACCTTCCTAAGTCTTCCCTCCCTCCCTTCCACTTCCGCAGGGCCTCACTGGGAGCAGGATGATCAGTCATCAGTCTCACCAGGCTTGTGTCTGGAGGGAGAGTGCCAGAGGGGGAATGTGAGCCTAACTCTGCAGTGGGGTATGAGTGGCCAAGGTCTCTTCTAGCCCAGCTAGAAAGCAGAAAAGACAGACCGTAGAATCTTCTGGGGTCCAAATTCCCACTTCAGGTTTTCCTGTTGTCCAAATTCCTTCCTCTCTGGCCCAAGCCCCTCCCTCCAGGCCAAGGTATTGGGAGTGGTGGTTGGATGTGTTGTCAGATACAGATTGATAGACTTTCCCTATCCTGGGAAGAGAGCCGACTTGGGGAATGGGGCCTGAGGACAGTGCACCTAGGTTAGAAGATGTGGCTCCTCCTCTTCCCCCAGTCTCCATGGCAACAGGCCCAGTCTGCAGACCCAGCTTCCTTTGCTGCACATCCTGGCCTCCTTGTTACTATGGCAACAAAGGACACTGGGAGGGATGGGGGACAGTCAGAGTACAGGCTGGTGATGAGGCTTTGGGTTCTTGGGGAAGCCAGGGAACCCAAGACTCCCTGCATCCCTCTGATCACTAGCGCTGTCTCTGTTTCTGGCCATCTCTTTGTGCCTCTAGATCAAACAGTGTGTGTGTGGTGTGTGTGTGGGTGTGTGTGTGTGTGTGTGAATGGCTTTCAGTCTAGCCTTCAGCATCTCACACATTTCACTGACCAAATTCTTACCTTTTATCCACCCCACATCCATTGAGATCACCCCCTGTCCCTTGCCTGTGTCCCTCCCACCTTCATTTCCAAAAAGGTAGGGTGTGGGGGAGGACAGTTACAGGGACACTTTCTCTCTCTTTCTCTCATCTCTTGTACCATCTGTAGGGAATGTTCTTCATGGAGCTAATGAGTTTTGGGATATTAGTGGGGGTTCCCCACTCCTTAGGCTCCAATGGAGTGACTGATAGGCTGTTTGTATGTTGTACAGCAGGCCGGGAGTGTGGGCTCCAGCTGTCGCTCTGTGCGTGCATGTACTGTGACAAGTGGGTGGTGGGTTGGTGAGGTAGTAAAGGGAGGTATGACACAGTATGTGATGTGTTGCAGTATACACTGTGTGCAAGTGTGGGAGGTGTGTGGATGGTGTTGTGGGAGTGGTGTCTGTGAGTAGTGATGTGTGTGTAAGTCTGTGTTCAACTCTTGATCTGCTTTTCCCAAACTAGCCATCACTTAGTGAGTTTGCATTATGGGCCTTGGCTCATGCCTGAGATATTTGGTGTCTGAGATGTTGTGTGGTTGTGTGGCCATGTCCACAGGCTCCTGTGGCATATGCAGAGGCCGTGTGAAGCCCATGTGTGTGCCGTGGGGTTGAGCAGGATGCATGTTGGTGAATGGGCTGCATGGTGGGGTCCGCATGGGAGACAGTACAAGTCAGGCATGATGGACTGTGTCTGTATTACGGTATTGGACAGGTGATTACTAATCTCCATAACCCTTTACGATTGTGATTGTTGGCCTGTGTAGAGTGAGATGGTGTGTACGAGGTGTGTGTTCCATGTGTATGCCATTACTGCAAGGTTGTGAGTCTCTGAGGCTGTGGGATGGGTAACATAGTAACGTAGAGAGAGTGTGAGGTGGGTCTCTGGCCAGGCCTAGGAGTAAGAGTGTGGTTTGTCCCTAAGCATCTGAGCTAGCTGGGCGATCATCATGGGTGCTGATGGTGGCCATTTCCTGGGCTCCTCAGTGGGACCCTCTAATTGTGTCTCTTATACCATTGTGCCTCATTGAATAGCTCCACCACAGGGGATGTGGAAACAAGCGCACAGTGAGCATTCTCAGGCTCCCCCTCTGCCCCCTGCAACACCCCTCCTCATTTGAGAAGCCTCTTTTGTGCCCCTTTCCAACCACCCCCTCCATAGCACCTTCCTTTTCACACCAGTCTTCTCACCATCTCCAGGGCCTCTCACTGCACCGTAATGTTTCTCTGGGGCCCCTGTCTTATTGTGGAGATTTACTGGCCTTCCCCCAACCCCAAGGTCCCCCCAAGACTCCCCTGTCCCTGGTGGCACATCTCTACAGTAAGGAGATTTCCCGGGGTGGGGCCTTTCTTCTCAGAGCCCCTCCAAGGAAGCACCCCCCCCCACGCCGCAGGGGCCTTTAGGTCCCCTATTGCGGGGTCCCGGGGATTCCCGCCCCCTGCAGCACTCCCCCTTGCAGCCTGCACCGCCGCTTTGCGGAGACAGGGGGGCAGGACAGCTGCAGTACCAGGGGCGGGGCCGAGGGCCATCTGTCAGCGCAGCGGCGCCGCTGATTGGCTGGCTGCGGCCCCCCCGCAGGTGCGGACATATGAAGAGGCGGAGGCGGCGGCCACCGCAGCCTCTGTGCGGAGGGACGGACGGACGGACCGAGGCGCGGGCGTTGCAGAGGCCCCAGCCAGAGCCCGCGCCTGAGCCCGCCCTGAGGCCCCTGCTCGGCCCCCGTCCCGCCCGCCCGCCCCTCTTCCCGCGGAGCCGCCAAGATGGGGGTAGGTGCTCCGGCGGCTGGGCAGAGGGTGACATTGCGGGTGTCTGCGGGCCGGGGCTCCGGGGACCCTGTGCTCTGGAGCCAGGTCCACGGAGTCACCTCGGGGAGGGGGTCGTGCGTGTGGCTGTGCTGCTGCGAGGAGTGTGTGCGGGTCGCCTCGGGGGTCTGTGGCGCAAGTTGGCGTGCCTTTGTGTGCGGGGTTCGCGGGAGCACGGCCCAGCCCTCTGCCTGACCTTGTGCGGCTTGTGTGTGTGCATGTGTGAGCGTGCACGGGGGCGCGCGCATGTGCGTGCATGTTTCTGCATGTGTCCGTGAGGCCCTGGCTCTGCTAGGCCCCGACAGCGCATTCTACCTGTGACTGTGCGACTGTGGCTGTGTGTCCGACTGTCAGCGACATGGTCACCGCATCTGCGGTGTCTGGGTGTGTGCAAGAGGCTGCGTTTGTGTGTCTGGAGTGTTGGCCAGCGTAGGGACAGGTCCAGGCTGGGGGATGGACAGCCAGGTGACCTCTCTTTCTCCTTCCAGGCCTGGATGGGGGGGCTCTGCAGTGCGGTGCAGCCTAGGGCTGCGGGGTGCGTGTCCAGCCCCTAATCCCAGAGAACAGACAAGGGAGGGGGCAGTCAGGGGGGAGGAAGAGCAGGAGAGCAAAGGCAGAGACTGAGTGTGCAAATGCATGTGCGAGGGGGGGAGTATGCATGCTTGGCTGTGCCCTTGCCTCTGTGTCCGTGTGTCCTTGTCTGTCTGTGGGTCTCTCCAACAGATGCCGCCTCCTTTCCCAGCTGACCACCTGACCCCCACCACAGCCCTGGATTCCTCCCTGTGTGTCTGGGACAGGGTGTGGGGAGGAGAAGGTGGCTGTGGGTTGGGGGAGCTCGATGAAGAGGGAGGGGAGAAAGATGGCGGAGGCAGGCTGATGGGCCTAGGAATGGGATGGGGGTGGGGATGCAGATCTGGGGGTTGGAGTGGGTGAGGGGGAATGGGGAGAAAAATTGGAGGGAGAGCTAGAGAGAGACGGGGGGGGGGCGGGGGATGGATGTGAGGCTCCAGTGATGGCTTCCAGGTAAGTGGAAGGGAGCAGAGGAAGAAGGAAGGTGGCTAAGGCCAAATGCCTTAGACAAGGAAGAAAAGTGGGGGGTCTCTTAGGAAAAGAAGAGAAACCAGGAGGAAAATCAAAGATGCCTCAGACATGGAGGGAGAGGCATAGAGATATGTGGGAGATCAAAATGGGCAGAGACACAGAGAAGGACAGACAGACAGAGAGATTCTGAAAGAGACATGGACAGAGACACAGGCAGAGAGGGGAAGAGACCTGAAGGAGGTACAGAAGCGAAGGAAAAAAACTGAGGCAAAGAAGGAGAGAGAGACACGGAAAGGGAGCTCCTCTCCAGAGTCAGCCTGAGTAATAGGGACAGAAGGTCAGGGGCCAAAGGGGAGGCTGAGGGAGACACTGGGAGATGACAGACTCAGACACTGAGGGAGGGAGAGGCTGGCTGAGGTGCAGAGGCTGCGTGAGCCAGCGAGCAGGCATCAGGGGGAGGTGGACAATGTGGAGATGGCGAGGAGGAGCCGCAGAGGCGGGCAACAGCAAGACAGGCGTGCCCCCCACCCCACCGTGCACCCATCTGGGCCTCCTGCTGAACTGGGGAAGCCTCAGCTCCCCACTCCTCCAAGGAGTCTGGTCATGGCAAGGGCAAACAGGAACTTGTCAGGGACCGGGGTGTCCCAGTGCCCTCCTCCATCAGGCCTCGAGTCCAGCCTTCTCATTTTTCCTTCTCCCAGACATAGGAATTCAGGGCCCCCCCAGTACCTCCTGTCTCAAACTCAGAGTCCAGGCCCCCAGCCCCCTCCTCCTTCAGATCCAGGAGTCCAGGTCCCCACTTTTATCCCTAGTGTGACCCCAGCCTGTGCTATCCAACATTCCCTAAGGTTTCACAGGGAGGCTGCCATTGTTCTCCCCATTCCTCCAAAGCTCCCATCTCCTGCTGCTCTTTCCCGTTCTCAGGCTCAAACTCAAGACAATTTCCCTCCATGTCCCACCTTCCGTGGGCCTGGCCACCTGCACACACGGTGACCCTCTACTGCAGTGGTGCCTGTCCCCTGTGTGTCTCCCAGCTGAGACGCAGTGCTGCTGCAGGGCTGGCACGGGGCCAGGCCTTCTGCCCACCTTGCACCCCTCCTCCTGCGTTCTGGCCTCCTGGCCACTGCCCCTCCCTGTGCCCACCCTCTGCCTCTGGGTCTGGGGGCAGACATCAGGCAGCTCAGCCCTCGACAAGGTCACGAGGGGATTAGCGCTGAGCCGCGCTGAGCCTTGGATCCCAGCTTGGCCCTGGGTCCGCAGGATCGGTCATCGGCCCTCAGCAGCATCCAGCCTCGCCTCGCCTCGCCTCTCCTGCCAGGCTCTCAGGCCCCTAGATGTAGAACTGGTCACTCGCCTTGTGATGCCCTGTTCAGTCCAGGCCCATTTGCTCTTCCACACCTAAATCCTTCTGGGTTTAAGGTGTTCCCATGGTTCTGCAGAGATCTGACTGCTCCCAATCTAGTCATATGCTCATAGCTCCCATCATTCCCCATGGGAGAGGCCAAAGCCCACTTAAATGGTCCTGCTCCAGCCAAGCCATCCCCCTGTGCGCAGAAGATACCTCCCAGGTCTTTGTTTCAACTGTGACCCACACCTTCCTGCAGGCCTTATGGGGTCTGCAAAGGTTTGTGGGTCCTTTGAAAGAGAGAGACTAAACAGCTGTGGTGCCCAGAAAAAGCTGAGAACACAGAGCCAGGGAAAGGTGCCCAGAAAGACCTGGAGCTGGAAGTATAGAGGCCTGGGCAAAGATGAGATGGATTCAGAAACACTGGCACAGGGCCAGAGATCGAGATCCTAGTGTGAGAGTGAGATAGATCAATCAGAGACAAGAGAGAAGCAAAGTTAGAGACATGTATAGAACATCAAAGAGAAGGGAAGAACCCAAGAGAACAAAATAGAGACTAAATGCCAGAGACAAAGAGATGGGGGAATAAAAATGGAGGAAGATAGAGACGAAAAACAAAACCACTTGGAGACAGTCTTCAATCCCAGCAGATCTCAACTCAAGGAGAGAGATAGCAGCCCGAGAGGAACAGGGAACTTGGGAAGAGATAGGGACAAAAATAGTCTGAGACAGAGACACAGAAAGAACTGAGGATCAGAGAAAACACACCCCGAGACAGAGAGATGATATGAAGTGATGAGAGTAATCGAGGGAGAGACACAAACACACAGAGATGGAGAGATAAAAGTGAACAAAGAGACTAAACAGTCGTGGAGACCAGAGGACAAGGAAGAGAATGAATAATATACCAAGAAGCAGACACACAGAGAAGAGGAGAAACAGAAATACAGATTTAAAAAGAAAGAGAGATACTTAGAGATGGAATGGTAGAGATCTGAGAGAAGGGCCCAGAAACAGACCCAGAGCTGGACAGGGATCCTAAGATATGTCGAGTCTGAGACTCTGAGGGTGACTGGGAAATGGAGATGCCCTCACAGGCTCTCAGATACCCAGAGGCAAAGGGGAAACCCCGAGATTAGGTACAAAGTGGACCCAAGACGCAGAGACCCCCCCCAGGCGCGTGGAGGGTCGGTGTCCCCCTTTAACCCCTTCTCGCCCGCAGTCTGGTCGCTCTGACAGCTATCGTGTCGCCACCTCGCAGGACAAGAAAGATGACAAGGGCTCGCCCAAGAAGGGCAAGGGCACTAAGGAGCGCCGGGATCTTGATGATCTCAAGAAGGAGGTGGCGATGGTAAGCCCATCCTCCCCGTCCCACCCCCTCCCTCCAGTCCGTTCCCCCTTCTCTTGAGGTGCCCCAGCACTCACCTGACTGCCTCCAATCTCCTGTTCCTCAGACAGAGCACAAGATGTCCGTTGAAGAGGTCTGCCGGAAGTACAACACGGACTGTGTGCAGGTGTGGAAGGGTCTGGCCAGGACTGGAGGCCCAGACGTCTTGGTCTTGGGGAGGAGGGGCCAAGGGAGGGTGGGAGGCCAAGGCTGTTCAGGGAGGGTTCCTGTATGAATCCCCATGTCTCCCAGGGTCTGACCCACAGCAAAGCACAGGAGATCCTGGCCCGAGATGGACCCAACGCGCTCACGCCACCACCCACTACCCCAGAGTGGGTCAAGTTCTGTCGCCAGCTCTTCGGGGGCTTCTCCATCCTGCTGTGGATTGGGGCCATTCTTTGCTTCCTGGCTTACGGCATCCAGGCTGGCACGGAAGATGACCCAGCTGGTGACAATGTGAGGGCCCTCCACCTGTCCTGTCCCAGGCCACAAATCCAGGGACACTCTGGCTCACATCATCCTGCCTCCCTACCCTGTCCACAGCCCACTCTCCCTTTTCTCATCCAACTTTCACAAGTGCCTAGTGAGAGAATCAGAACAGGTGTGAGGAAATTGAGGCTCAGAAAGGGCACGTAACTTACCTAAGGTCACACACAGCAAGCTGATTCTGACCCAAAGCAACGTAGCCTCAGTGGCGACAGACATCCGCAGATGGCCACAAACTGAAAGGTACCTGAAGAGTGAGAATGCTCTTGTAGAGACCTATGCATGTTCACCTGCTGGTGTGTCCGGGGACATATGATCTCTACAGTCCCGTGTCAATAAAAACGGGGCCACATCTCCGCTACTTGGAGAACCTCACCTGTGTGCACACAAGCTACATGTATTCCCCTAGAGCCCCCTAGTTCCCACACACGTACAGACACGGGCTCTCAGGGGCACTCAAACACACTGACACGTGGAGTTGCAGGTTTCCAAACGACAGACACAGAGATAAGCCAGTCTGTGTTCAGAACGCTAAACATGAACAGGCAAGCAAACACAAAGACATAGGACGTAGTAGACTAACAGAGAGACAGATGGACATCAATGACAGCTTTACGGGGGCTGCTGGGAGCAATTGCACACCCTAAAACTGAGCCCCTGATCCTGTGAGTTATTACCCAAAAGTCTCAGATCCCCAGCAGCAGGAGTTGGGCGGGCGCTTCAGGGGGCGGGGCCACATGGGTGACGTCACTAGGGTGGGAGTGACCATCCCCACCCACCAGTCAGGGTGCAGGCCACAGTGTCCACCATTGGGCAGAGAGAAGGTTTTCGTCTTGGCCAATGAGAGAGAGGATGAGCTGGGGGGCGTCACAGGGGCGGGGCCAGCGTGCTCCACTCCCCAGCTGCGGGTGGGGGTCTTTTCTTAGCAGTTCCACCTACACAGAGGCTTAGTGGCAGGGAGTGGCGCTGCCAATGCAAAGACTAAAGGTTCGAATCCACCAGCTGGGCAATCTATTCCCGTGCAATTTACCACCTCTGAAAACCTGCTAGAGGGTCAGCTACTGGGGCACGTTCCAACTTGAGGATACTCAGCAATCGCCCCCGCTCACACAAGGGGACATCATGAGTTACCGCACGGGGTGACGCAATCCTAAGCATGTCACTGACGTACACAGAAATGCAACACAAAAAAACAGACCTGCTAATTTAAAACTAGGGATGTAGATAGCGGACAAACAAGAGGCCAGTCACCTACACCCAGATTCCCCAAGATGGGCAAACAGACTTATGTACACACACCAGAGATTCAAACACAGAAACAGAGACAGACAGGCTAGCTCAGGCAGACACAGAGCCTCTTACCGAACAACTCTGGAGTCAGATGCCCTCCCCACACCCCATGCAAAGTTCCCCTTCCCAGAGTCTTTAGAATCTTGGGGTGGGACTGAGAGGATGGTCCCAGGTTGGGCCTGAGCCCCCTGCTGTCCCCCACAGCTGTACCTGGGCATCGTGCTGGCAGCCGTGGTCATCATCACCGGCTGCTTCTCCTACTACCAGGAGGCCAAGAGCTCCAAGATTATGGAATCCTTCAAGAACATGGTTCCCCAGGTGAGGGGAGAGAGATGGGCCGTGATATATGACTCTCAGGCTGAGGGATTTGAGGAAGGTGACACTTTTTCTTCTCGCCCCAGCAAGCCTTGGTGATCCGGGAAGGTGAAAAGATGCAGGTAAATGCTGAAGAGGTGGTGGTTGGAGACCTGGTGGAGATCAAGGGTGGAGACCGAGTCCCAGCTGATCTGCGAATCATCTCAGCGCACGGCTGCAAGGTATGCCTGTGGTCTGGGGTCGCGACTCCCTCAGATGACCTGAAAGTGCCAGACCCATCACCTCCTCCCTCAGACTTAGGAGTCCAAGCTCCAGTACCTCTTCCCTCAGATTTAGGAGTCCAGGCCCCAGCACCTCCTCCCTCAGACTCAGAGATCTTGGCTCCAGCCCCCTCCTCCCTCAGACTTAGAGTCCAGGCCCCAGCACCTCCTCCCTCAGACTCAGATATAAAACTTTCACCTCCCTCCTCCTTCAGACCCAGGTATTAGCCCCTTACCTCTCTCTCCTCAGACCTGAGAGTCCAGCTCCCAGCCCCTCCTCCTTCAGACCCAAGAGTCCAAGCTCCTTCAGTTCCCTCCTCCCTCAGACCTCCCCCACCATGACCAGAAGTCCAAGTCACCAGCCCTCTCCCCTCAGAGACCCCCACCCCTTGGAGCTCGGCTCGAAGCTCCTCTCCTCACCTTCAAGATGCTAATCTCTCAGACCTCATTCACCACCTGGGATCACCGTCTTCAGCCCATCGCTCCTGATAGGGTGCCCCAAAACCCCGCTTTCCCTGCTCTGCCCATCTCCAGGTTGACAACTCCTCCCTGACGGGAGAATCCGAGCCCCAGACTCGCTCTCCTGACTGCACACATGACAACCCCCTGGAGACTCGGAATATCACCTTCTTTTCAACCAACTGCGTGGAGGGTGAGCGGGCGCAGTGGGTGCCCGGAGAGGGAAGGGTGGCCTGGGCAGGTCCAGAAAGGAGCCTGCTGCCAACTGATGCTGAGAGATGCTGAGGCCCCACAGGCCCTCCCTTGGCCCTTTGACAGGCTCTGTCCTGTCTGTCTACAGGCACTGCTCGGGGCGTGGTGGTGGCGACCGGGGACCGCACCGTCATGGGACGCATCGCCACGTTGGCCTCGGGGCTGGAGGTGGGCAAGACGCCCATCGCCATCGAGATCGAGCACTTCATCCAGCTCATCACTGGTGTGGCCGTCTTCCTGGGTGTCTCCTTCTTCATCCTCTCCCTCATCCTGGGGTACACGTGGCTCGAGGCCGTCATCTTCCTCATTGGCATCATCGTGGCTAATGTCCCTGAGGGTCTCCTGGCTACTGTCACTGTAAGAGCCAGACACTATGGGCAGCAGGTGGAGGGAGTCTGGGGGGCTGGATTATTGGGTCTGGATTTGAGGGATAAGAGTCTGGGGGCCTGGATTCTGGTCTGAGGAGTAAGGGGCCTGGGGGCCTGGATTCTTGGATTTGAGGGATAAGGGTCTGGGGTCTAGATTCCTAGGTCTGAGGAGGAGGGGGCTGGGGGCCTGGATTTCTGGGTTTGAGGGACAAGGCCTAGTGGCCTAGGACTCTGATGCTCTTGACAAGGACAGCTTGGGCATCTTCAGGGAGGAGGGTCTTGGAACTCGAAGGACACACAAAATGCTAAAAGACAAAGGGGTCATGCCTATCCCTGTTTAAAAATTAACTTACAGAATTTAAAAGTATACCCTTAAGTTAGAAAGTCTGAAGAATTAAGTTTCCAAAAGACATGACAAGGCCATTGCCCCTGCCCCCCCCACTCCCTCTCTGTGGGCCAGATGCACAGACCCTGTATGGATGGAACACGCTTCTCCAAGCACATAGAGTACACCCTGCTGTGAATACCATCTTCTTTGACTTCTTCAATTTAATCTCTTCTGTAGCTATTTCCATACCAGCATTGTAAAAGCTCCCTTGTTTTAAAAGGCTATTTATTGAGGTGTATGCAAAGGGCTGGGGAGTCCTGGTGGCCTGGTGCTAAGGAGTTGTGCTGCCAACCCACAGGCACAAGGTCCAAATCCACTAGCTGCTCCTCAGGAGAAAGATGGGCTATCTCTTTACAGTCTCTGACAATCCACTGGCGGGTCAGCTGTGAGTCAGTTCCAACCCAACGGTACACAATAACAACAGTGCAAAGGGTTACACACTGTGGAGGGCAGCCTGGTGAGGCTGCATCAGGCTCAGCACATCAGTGCCTCCCGTGCCAGGCCAGGCCCTCAGCAACGCCCCAGGACCACATTCAGTGCCTCCTTCCAGCCCAAGGAAACCCTAGCCTGGCTTCTAGCAGTTTAGGACAATTTATGTGTTTGCAAGAGTAATTTTTATGAGTTTTGTCTGTTTGGGTTGGTTTAGTTTTGGGGTTTTATTCTTTTCCATCACTCTGTGTTACTGTTAGGTGTAATCGAACCATGTCTGACTAGTGACCCCGTGTGAAGCACACCCTGCCCGATCCTGCGCCTTCCTGCCAGCCTTCTCTGTGCTTGGGCCGTTGGTACAGCCACTGCAGCATCACTCAGTCTTGTGAAAGAGCTTCCTACTTGAATTTTTTTTTCCTGACTCTACTTTTCCAAGTCGAGTTGTCTACCTGTCCTTCTTCAGGGCCTGGCCCCTCCTGACACCTTGCCCAAAGTGTGGTGACAGAGTCTCACCATCCTTGCTTTGAAAGAGCAAAGAATCTTCCAAGACAGATTCGTTCGTTCTCTTGGAGGTTCCTAATACCTTTCCCCACCACCACAATGCAAAGGCATTCACTCCTCTTCCATCTTCCTTTTTTATTGCCTGGTTTTCATATGCATCTGAGATACTTGCAAATTTCATTTCCATTTCCTCATGTGGTAACCCTCCATCAGCTTTTGGAAGCTGTAAATCTTAACAGGAGAAGACTTCCTAGCCCTCCCCATTGGAATAGCTCGTGGATTCCAACTGCTTTTCAGTTAACAGCCCAACACACCCCGTGTTATGAGTAAGGAACCTTGGTGACATAATGGTTAAGCCCTCAACAGCTAAGCAGAAGGTTGGCAGTTTGAATCCACCAGCCACTTCTCAGGAGAAAGCTGGTGCAGTTGGCTTCCATAAAGATTAACACAATTCATTCATTGCCCTAAGTCAAAACCAACTCATAGACGAGCCTCCAGTTGGGTTTCCGAGGCTGTAAATTGCAAGGGAGGAGATAGTCCATCTTTCTCCTTTAGAGCCGCTGGTGGACGTGAACTTGACCTTTGTGCTAGCAGCACAGCTCCCTATGGACTATTAACACTAGAGCTTTGCAGTCCAAAGCACATCACAGACTTGAGGGAAGCCCTCCTCTGTGCTAGGGCTGCTACGAGCTTGGCTTGGCTCAACGGGAGTGGGCTTGATAGTGTGAGTATTCCACAATTTCTCTGCCTGTTCTGCTGTTAGTAGACTCTGAGCTGATTAGGTGTGGCTGCTGTGAGCCTCACATTATTGTTAGAGGCTGTGGAGTGGATGAGCTCTGTCTGGTCCCATTGTCTAACACTGCACTGGGCAAGGCTGCATTGTGGTCCTTTGGTTCTACTGGCTAATTTTCAGAAGTAGGATGCCAGGTCTTTCTTTTTAGTCTTTCTCTGGAAGTCTTGTGGCAATCTAGCCATCACTGGTGACACTGGAATGGTGGTGACTTAGTTTCTAGTGTCACGTTGTGTGCTGTCAAGTTGATTCTGACTCCAAGTTGGCCCTACGTGATGCAGTCGAGCTGCCCCATAGAGGTTCCTAGCTATAATTGTTATGGGAGCAGGTTGCCAAGTCTTTTTATCCTCTAAGTGGCTGGGTGGCTTTGAACTGCTGACCTCCTGGTTCGCAGCCAAGCACATAACTATTGTGCCCCCAGGTTCCTCTCCAGCATCACATCTTTGTTATGTGCCCTCCAGTTGACTATGACCTGTGAGCAGATTTGAACTTCTCCCTGTCCTGTGCCTTCCTCACAGTCTGTGGCATGTTCAAGCTCATTGCTATAGCCATGCTGTCAATCTATCTTGTCGAGGTTCTTCCTCTCTTTCTTTGACTCTGCACCTTCTCCAGCACGATGTCCTTTTCAAAGGACTGGACAACACCCCCAAAATGTGTGAGGTGAAGTCTCCCCATCCTCACCTCTGAGGAGCACCCCGGTTACACATTCTTCAGGACAGACTTGCTTGTTCTTTTGGAAATCCATGATATATAGTCAGACCTCTTCTTCACTCATAGAAATCAATTCTTCCTCTCTCTTATTCATGTTGTTGTTGTTGTTAAGTGGCATTGAGTCAAGCACGATTCATAGTGACCCTGTAAACAAAAGATCTGACCCCTGTTCTAGAACTATCATCGTTTCTCTACGTTCATAGAGTTTCCAGAGGCATGTGGATTAGGAAGTGGATGCCACTTTTTATTCAGAGCGACATGCAAACCGTCACTGTGCACTGGAAGATGGCGTGAACATTCCAGTATGTGCCTCTTGGGGGCTCTGTCTGAGCTGCTTCCTGTTGCGCTGTCTCTAGCAGGGTCGTGCTCCATTTTTTCCAGTCCACAAAGGACTCCCTTGCAATTGCTGACACTCAGGTTGTTCATGCACCTCTGACTTCCCGCCCACACTCTGTCCCCAGGTGTGTCTGACGCTGACCGCCAAGCGCATGGCTCGGAAGAACTGCCTCGTGAAAAACCTGGAGGCCGTTGAGACCCTGGGCTCCACGTCTACCATCTGCTCAGACAAAACAGGGACCCTCACCCAGAACCGCATGACAGTCGCCCACATGTGGTTTGACAACCAGATCCATGAGGCAGATACCACCGAGGACCAGTCAGGTGAGGGCAGGGCCCAGGGAGGTGGAGCGGGGATGAGGGCAAGGATCTGGGCTCAGGGGGGCCTGGTCCTGACACCTGCCTCCTTCAGGCACCTCATTTGACAAGAGCTCACACACCTGGGTCGCCCTGTCCCACATCGCCGGCCTCTGCAATCGTGCCGTCTTCAAGGGTGGTCAGGACAACATCCCCGTGCTGAAGGTGGGTCCAGCCGCTGTCTCCTCTGGACCCTGTCCGACCCCGCCTCTGCTGCCGGCTCTCATGGTCCTCTCGCCCGCAGAGGGACGTGGCCGGGGATGCCTCGGAGTCTGCCCTGCTCAAGTGCATTGAGCTGTCCTCCGGCTCTGTGAAGCTGATGCGGGAACGCAACAAGAAGGTGGCTGAGATTCCCTTCAACTCCACCAACAAGTACCAGGTACCCGGGACTTTCCTCGCGGCCTCATTTTCTCCCGTATCTGATGCCTGTGAAGTGGTCACCTCTGCCCCATGAGCCCTCCTGCTTTGGGCAAATAGAGCCTCTGTTTCTCCAACTGTAAAATGGGATAGTTGAAACCCACCTGGTATGAAGAGAGAAACAAATCCAGGGTCAGAGCGAGATCTCTGTTGGAGGGAAATGCAGGGGGTAAAGCCAAGTGTAGGGGACAGCCAGCAATCCCTGGGGACAGAGACAGCAATGCTCATCTATTTAATAAGCTACCAAGTGTCTAGGCTCAGTATTAGGGGCTGGGGTCTTCCTGTGGAACCTGCATCTTAGTGATCTCAAAGTCATTACTATTGAGTCAGAACAGACTTAAAGCTGACCTTCCAGCGGGTTTTTCTGAGGTTGAAGCTGCTGGTGGACTTGAGAGATGGGGCCTTTGGATTAGCTGTGCACTCAGAAAATTACCTCAAACTCATTACTGTTGACTCAGAACTGACCCACAGCTGACTCTCCAGTGGATTTTCAGAGGCTGTAAATTGCAAGGGAGGAGATTGCCCCTCTTTCTCCCTCAGAGCAGCTGATGGATTCAAACAGCCTGCCTTTTAGCTGTCATCAAACTCTCTATCAACTAGGCCATCAGAGCTCCCAAAAGAGGGCCCAACAACAAATGAAAGAGGAAGTGTGCAGTATGTCACCAGGTGACAGTGACAAGGGAGGAAGCCATGCAAGTTTCTGGGGTCAGAGTGTTCCCAGCAGCATGTGCAAAGGCCCTGTGGCAGTAACATGTTGACAGCTGGGAAAGAGCAAGGCGATAAGCTCAGGGAGTGTGGCACGAGATGAAAGCTCTGGTGGAAGGCCTTGAGGGCAGTGCAGAGGATTTGGGCTGGTACTTTGAGGGGTATATGGACCACAGGCTCTGAACAGAGAAGCAGGATCTGATTAGCATTTTAAAAAACAACTTTATTGAGATGCAACTCACACAGCACAGCCTATGACCACACATTTACCATGTACAGTCTATATATTCTTAACATAATCACAGAGATGTGAATCAGCACCACCATTTTAGAACATTTTTAACCTCTCAGAAAAAAAAATCCTCTCTTTTCCCTTCTCACAGCCCTAAACTAATTCACCCTCTGGATTTTCCTGTTTTAGAATTTACATAAAAACAGCTCAGTGTATCTTTGACCTTTTGTGTCTAGCTTCATTCATTTAGTGTGATGTAAAGGTTATCTGTGTTGTAGCATTGATTGTTGCTGTGTACCATCAAGTTGTAACTGACCCAAAGCTGACCCTACAGTGGGTTTTCAGAGACAGTAAATTGCACAGGAGGAGACTGCCCATCTTTCTCCCATGGAGCAGCTGGTAGATTCGAACCGCATGCCTTTGGGGTTTTAGCACAATTTTTTACATTAGGCCACCAGAGCCCAGAGCATTGATTTGTTGTTGTTGTTGTTGTTATTGTTAAGTGCCGTCAAGTGGAGCATGAATCATAGTGACGATCCTATGAACTAAAGATCTGAACCCTGTTCTATAACTATCATCGCTTCTCTAGAAAGCATTGGTTAGTAGTTCCTTTTTAAAAAAAAATTAATGCATTAAAACACTCATACCATAAAAATTATAATTTTGTCCATCTTGAGGTGGTATAATTCCATAGTGTTAAGTTAAGGACATGCACAACGTCGTGTAGCCTTCAGCACTATTTATTTCCAGAACTTTTTCATCATCTCAAACAGATACTCTGAACCTCCTCCCTCAAGCCCGGCCCAGAGAACCGCCATCCTATTCTCTGCCTCTAGCCACTTACATATTCTGGACATTTATATCAGTAAAATCAGACAATATTCGGCCTCTTGTACCTGGCTTAATTGACTCCACATAATATTTTCAAGGTTTATCAATGTTACACTGTATTTCAGAACCTCATGTTTCTCTTTATGGTTGAATTCCATGCAATTCCATCGTACGGTGACACCATGTTTTGTTTAGCCATCCATCAGTTGAAGGGCCTTGGGGTTCTGATTATAATGAAAGGTGCTCTTAAGAACATTCACATAGATATTTTTGCATGGGCATATAATTTCTACAGAAGTGGGATTACATGCTGCAGTAGCGGAGGGTCAGAGAAAGAGAGGAAGCCCCTCAACCAGATGGAATGACTGTGACTAAGGGCTCAAGCCCAGCAGAGGTTGTGAGGACGGCGCAGGAGAGGGCAGAACTGCTGTGCATAAGGTCGCTAAGAGTCACAGCCGACCAGGCTGCTCCTCGGAGGCAAGCATGCTGAGGCCTCATCTGACATATTTTGCGCATGTTCCAAGGAGGGACCAGTCCTTAGAGAGGGACATCATGCTTGGGAGGGTGGAGGGACAGCGCAGGAGAGGAAGACCCTCTGAGATGAGATGGATTGACTCAGTGACTGGGGTAGGTAATGGGGGTAGGTGTGTCAGAGATAGTGCAGTTGGCACAGGATAGAGCAGGGTTCCGGGCTCCTGTATAACGAGTCAGTATGAGTTGCAAGCAACTTAACAGCACATAATAACAACAAACAACAACAGCAACACAGATATGCACAGTTTAACTTTCTAGGACCTCCCAGGCTGTTTTCCAGAGTGACTGGATGCACCATTTCACACAGACTCGCATATCTCGAAGGCACCCACTGCCTGCTGTGGAAAAGGCCTGTGTGGAGCTGTAGGAATGCTGTGTGCTGATGGCAGGGCTGCTGCTGGGGGACGCTGTGCAAGGCTGGGAAGAGGCTGGGTCCAGGGTGCTTCAGAAATTAGCCGTCATTTCTGTTGATAAGTCAGATTTAAGATGAGAGAATGAGAAGCGCATCTTTCGGGACAGCAGAGATTTCTGTGGGAGAGACACCAATCAAAAACACCAAACCCACTGTCGTCAAATTGATTCCAACTCATAGCAACCCTTCGCCCTCTGCTGAGGCTGTAAATCTTGGCTGGAGGAGACTGCTTTTCTTTCTCCCTTAGAGTGGCTTTAGGATTCGAACTTCTGGCCTTTCAGTTAGCAGCCCAACATGGAACAGACTCAGTTACTAGAGCTCCTTATGGGAGAGAACTAAGAGACAAAAATCTTTGTCAGACGAAGAGACGTCTTTAGCAGAGATGAACAACTGACTCTGTGAAATACAGATTTCCCAAGGAAGCTCTGGTGGCCTGGTGGCAAGAAGCTGCACTGCAATCTCAGAGGTACGCGGTTCGAATCCACCAAATGCTCTGCTGGAGAAGGAGGAGCAATCTCCTCCTGTACTTGTCAGATCTGATTTGATGGTACACACACACACAATAATTAAAAAAAAAATATGTCCCAAGACCTAAATTAATGCCTGAGAACCTTGGAAATGGGCAGTGGAAATATAGGATTGTTGTTGTTGTGTGCCGTTGAGTGGGAACCCACTCATAGCTGACCCTCCAGCGAGTTTTTCAGATGCAGTAAGTTGCACAGGAAGTGATTGCCCATCTTTTCCCGTGGAGCAGCTGGTGAATTCAAACTGCGTACCTTTGGGACTGCAGTGCAACATACCACCCTTATATGTTGTTGTTGTGTACTGACGAGGTGGAACCGACCCATAGCTGACCCACGTCTTGCCTCTACCGTAATAATGGTGCAGAACTGGACAAGAAGGGAAAAAAATCTAAATGATAAGCATTTTATTGTTTATGTTAAAAAAAAAAACACAACACACTCAGCTGCCATTAAATAGACTGGCTTAAGGCGACCTCATGTGTATCAGTCAGAGCAAAAGTGTGCTCCATGGGGTTTTCAGTGGTTGATTGTTCAGAAGTAGTTTGCCAGGCCTTTCTTCCAAGGCACACATCTGGCTGGACTTGAACTTCCAACTTTTGCTTAGTTGAGAGCATTAACCTTTTGCACTACCTGGGACTCCATATATATTTTATGATGGTGTCAAATAAAAGAACCCCAGATGGGCCAGGATGATCATCTCAGGCACGTCTCTCCATCCACAGCTGTCCATCCATGAGACCGAGGACCCCAACGACAATAGGTACCTTCTGGTGATGAAGGGCGCCCCCGAGCGCATCCTAGACCGCTGCTCCACCATCCTGCTGCAGGGCAAAGAGCAGCCGCTGGACGAGGAGATGAAGGAGGCCTTCCAAAACGCCTACCTCGAGCTCGGAGGCCTGGGCGAGCGTGTGCTGGGTACGCGTCCTGGGCAGGAGTGGGGGTGCTGGGACCCCCCGCAGGCCAGCTGGGGAGCCTCTTGCTCAAGGCCTGGCTCAGAACAATGAGTGGGTGAATGGAAGACAGGGTCAGGAGGTGTTAGACAATGAAAAACGACCAGACTGACTGACTGTTGGGGAAACCCGTGACTGGAAGTCATGGTGACCCCAGGTGAAGTCCTCATACCCCACCCCTCCTCGATCCTTGTCCTCAGGCTTCTGCCACTACTACCTGCCGGAGGAGCAGTTCCCCAAGGGCTTTGCCTTCGACTGCGACGATGTGAATTTCACCACGGACAACCTGTGCTTTGTGGGCCTCATGTCCATGATTGACCCACCCCGGGCAGCCGTCCCAGACGCGGTGGGCAAGTGCCGAAGCGCAGGCATCAAGGTACGGCCTGGGATAGGTGGGGAGGCAGGCCGGTGGGGGGGTGTCCTGGGGCCAGCAGGTGAGGCTGGACCTTCTCCCAACAACACCTGCAGGTCATCATGGTCACAGGCGATCACCCCATCACAGCCAAGGCCATTGCCAAGGGTGTGGGCATCATCTCTGAGGGCAACGAGACAGTGGAGGACATTGCAGCCAGGCTCAACATCCCTGTGAGCCAGGTCAACCCTCGGTGAGCCTTGTCCAGCCCACCCCGCACCTTGGGGCCCCAGCCCTCCAGGGCACCACTCGAGGTGCCCACAGCTGTCCACCCCCTGGGACTCGTGGTATGGGAGCCTCACCTCCCTGTTCCTCCTCCACGTGTGACAATGCGTAGCGCCTGCTGCAGACTTTGGAGTCAGCACTGTGGAGGTTCAAATGTTGGCTTTACCACGCATGACTCTGGTGACTCATGCAGGTCATCCAGCCTCCTGCATCTCAATGCCCGTCTCTGTAAAATGGGACTGTGAACACTGCCCCTGTCAGAAAACTAAGGAAAATCCCAGCGCTCTTTCTCTTAGGAAAGCCCATATTCTCTCTTTGTGTGTGTCTCTTTTTTCTTGTTTATCTATGTGTCTGTTTCTCTCATTCTTATCTCTGCAGCTTTTCTGGCTTCTTTAGCTTCCCCAGCTTTTGGGGTTTTTTGTTTGTTTGTTTTTAAATTGGTCTACTATTATTTTTTTAATTCACTGTTGCACATTTCCCCCTGACTTCTCCCAGCCCACCCTTCAATGCACCCCTTTTTGGTTGTCATATGTCCCCATCTTTTTACCTCTCTCTGTTTTTATCCCCTTTCTGTGCTGTCCACTGCTGACTGGTCCATCCTGAGACCCTTTCCTCATCCTGCAGCACCGCACCCCCCCACACACCCCTGCCCCTAGTCTCCCCACCTCAGGAGTCCGGCTAGCTGCCTGTGGGTCTGGGCTGTGGGGCCCTCTTTCACGGGTGTGCGCCCCACTCCTCTCATTCAGGCCTTTCCTGTTTGTGCCTTTGCTCCCCCAGGGATGCCAAGGCCTGTGTGATCCACGGCACTGACCTCAAAGACTTCACCTCCGAGCAGATCGACGAGATCCTGCAGAACCACACTGAGATCGTCTTCGCCCGCACCTCCCCACAGCAGAAACTCATCATAGTGGAGGGCTGCCAGCGCCAGGTGGGAAGGGGTCTGCAGAGCCATAGGGGATGCAGCTTGGGGGGCAGGATCCTGGAGAAGATGAAGCTGGGGTCTGGATTTCTGGGTCAGAGGGGCTAGGGGCCTGGGCTAGGGGCTTGGACTCCTGGGAGTCTGAGGGAGGAGGAGGAAAGGGTGTGGACTCCAGGGAGTCTGAGGGAGGAGAGGGCTGGGGGCCTGGGATCCTGAGTCTGAGGGAGGAGAGGGCTGGGGCCTGGGATCCTGGGTGTGAGGGAGGAGAGGGCTGGAGGCCTGGGATCCTGAGTCTGAGGGAGGAGAGGGCTGGGGCCTGGGATCCTGGGTGTGAGGGAGGAGAGGGCTGGGGCCTGGGATCCTGGGTGTGAGGGAGGAGAGGGCTGGAGGCCTGGGATCCTGAGTCTGAGGGAGGAGGGGCCTGGGATCCTGAGTCTGAGGGAGGAAAGGACTGGGGCCTGGGATCCTGGGTGTGAGGGAGCAGGGGCTGGGATCTAGACTCCAGTGTTTTGGGGAGAGTGTTGCCAGGGCAGGCCTGGGGGTTATACTCATCCTCCACTCCCTCCAGGGAGCCATCGTGGCTGTAACTGGCGATGGTGTCAACGACTCCCCTGCTCTGAAGAAAGCCGACATCGGAGTGGCCATGGGCATCGCCGGCTCAGACGTCTCCAAACAGGCAGCCGACATGATTCTGCTGGACGACAACTTTGCCTCCATTGTCACAGGCGTGGAGGAAGGTAAATTGGGTGGGGGTGGTCCTTTGACACTGCATGTGAGGGGAGCAGTCCAGAACTGTGTCGTGGGGCCACCGAACCCCACTGGTCCATGAGCTCGTCCTCTTCAGTCCCCACCTCCTGGGCCTGGGAGGACTGGGTGCTCCCTGCAGGCAGGGCCAGTCTGGCACACTCTGGGGCTCCTGAGCACCAGTTTGGTGGGTCAGGTGGGGTGAGAGGCCTCCAAAGGGTTCCACAGACCCTCTTCATCCCCTAGTCACACAATGAGTACTCTAAAAATGCTTCCAGGACTGCCTAACCCACCAAACACGGTGCTCAGGAACGCCAGAGTGTGTCAACGACACCCCCAGAGTAGCTGGAGATACTGAGCCACCCCGAGAGCTGTAGGGATTTGTAGGCAGGGCGAGAAGAGCACCACGAGGGAGACCTCGTGGGCCAGCCGAGAGCCACTGCCTCCTGCCTGTCCTCCAGGCAGCCAGAGAAGGAGCGTCCACATTTCATATCCTGCTAATCCTCAAAGTAATCCTGGATCACCATGCTAGAAAACGCCCAAAAGTACTAAGAAGAAAATTAGATACACTCATAATCCACCCCCGGGGCATAAGAGCTTTTCACGTTTTGGGGAATTTTCTTCCAGGTTTTTAAATGTCCTCAGGAGTTCTGGTGGTCTAGTGGGTAAGGAGTTGCACTACCAACCCAAAGGTGAAAAGTCTGAATCCCCCAGCTCCTCCAAGGAAGAAAGATGAGTAATCTCCTCCCATGAGATTTACTGCCTCTGAAAAACCCCTATAAATCAATTCCGACTTTGCCACCCTCACTTTCTGCGTGAGCATTTAGTCTTCATTCAGTCATTCGAATTGGCCCTAAAGGATGCTGGGATTCAGAAAAATAAACTACTTTCCCACATTCACAGACTAGTATGCAGCAGCGCTGATATTTGTAATTAAAGCCATAGACTTCCACCAAATTGATCCAATTCAAAGACACTCTCTCACACAAAAGCTGAAAGCTTACAGACACCCCATCGATTCTTCTGTCCTCTTCTTTTTTTAAAAATTTATTTTATTTCATTATTTTTTGTGCATACCGTCAAATCAGATCTGACTGGTACAGGAGGTGATTTTTTCCTCCTTCTCCAGCAGAGCATCTGGTGGATTCGAACCGTGCACCTCTGAGATTGCAGTTGCAGCTTCTTGCCACTAGGTCACCAGAGCTCGCC